GCATAGCATGACTCAATAAAGAATGCAAATTCAATGGAATTCAGCGCATTATTGAGAAAGTGAGAGTTGCTTCGAATACCAAAGATGTCAGGAAAGCGGTCAGGAGCTCTATGACTATAGAAGATATTTACAATCTAGGTCTAGAGGAAGACACCACGGAGCCAAGTGACATCAAGGGCGTGATGAAAGTTAAAGCCATTCATTTGACTGAATCACCTTGAATACAATAGGTTAATCAAATGGGCAGAGTCAAAAATAGTTATGTAATAACAAAACCCATTCAGGACTCTCACGCACATGGTAAATCTCTTATCAAGCAACCCCAGTTCATCAATGACAATAGCCCCGGACAGCATTTTGATGAACCTTACGATGTGCGCTGCGACTATTGCCGCGGCAAATGATTTGATGAACGTTACAAGATACGCTACGACAACGGCCTAGACAAACGATTCGATGGAAGGCACAACAACTTCCACGACAATCGTTTTGATCAAAGCTACGATAATTATCACTATAACCGCAACCGTTTTAATAATCACAACGATAACTACTACGACGATCGATACAACAATAGCGCGTACAACGTCCATGGCAATCGCCACGACTATCATAGTGACCATCATCAAAGCCCTGATCGACGGGTTGACTGCTATAGAGGTGATAACCGAACCAACTATTCCCGTCGTGGTCAGCACAGGCACAATCCTCAAATGGCTTTCCGATATATTCGTCAAGGCCCAACCAGTACCAAAATGACAATAATACTTACAACAGATCTTCTGATTACAAAGATCGTGATAGTCAATTGAATACGAACCATGCTATGAACATCGAAGTAATCGATGATGACGACGACCTAAACACAGATCTTAAAGAATATAATTTGCAGAATTTGGAAGTGTACAATCTGGGGGTTAACGATACGATATGACGCATAAAACGTAACTGTGTGCATCAACAACATACCCACGCTGATGCAAGTTGATACCGGTACGAGGTACACTATACTTCCGAAGCTGACAGCTAAGACTGTAGGCATAACCACGATACGTAAGATGAATATGAAACTCACTGGTTATGACGGCAGGGCCATCAAGATATTAGGTCTTGCCAATGTGAACGTTAAGTATGAAGGTAACTCACAAACGCTGGAGGCCATAGTGATGGATAGTGACAAGATCCCCCTGCTAGGGCGTATGTGGCTCCACGCTTTCAACAACCTTTTAAAAACGTTCTTAGTAGGTAATGTGGAGAATGATCTCGAGAAGGTAATCTCGACAACAAAAAAAGACCTAGAATCCCTACACACTCAAAATGGTCAGACAAGAGAAGGTTCACTTGAAGCCCGATGCTTTGTATAATATCTTATCAAGGAGAGTTCCGTGTGCCAAGATTGATGCGATGACTCAGAAATTGGATGGCTGGCTGAAGGACAACATAAACCTTGCTCGAGAGAAATCTAGATGCCCGATGCCATGCACAAATGATCTGATCGCAAAGTTAGCTAAGGGCTGCCTTTACTTTACCAAGCCATCGATCGGTTTGAAAAAAAAACTGCACCATGAACATGGGTGGCGTATTGCGTGGCGATCATGAGCGTTAATGGTGTTCCACTCAACTTATCCAAGAAAATCGTAAGCCGAATTTCTTGGAGGTGGAATGTTAAATAATAGTGATTATACCTTTCGGTCAAAATTTTATATTAACATTTTTTTTATATATCATTTTAATGTGACATATTTTTTATTCACTTTGTATTTAAATTTAATCGGTGAAAATTTTATATTAACATTTTTTTTATATCATTTTAACGTTACATTTTTCTAATATCAATTTGTATTTCACACAATTAGTTATTTTTTTTATTGTTAAAAAAAGATATATAAAGAAAAATTGTTTTTAGTGAAAGGAGGAATAAAAAAATAAAAATGTAATTTATATAAAAATAAAATATATACATCATGATATTATTACTTAATGGAAGATTATATACAATTCTTACATAAATATATTTTGATTCAAAAAATAGGTTTCACTCTTAATCCTAATGTGTTGGACTTGACCTGAATGAGGGGGGGGGGGTTAAAAAGAATATAAATTGGATATGATTTTTAAATAAAAGGTAACATCTATCGTAAAAAACGAATAAAATTCTCATTATAATAATTCAACACTTAATTTCTAACAAAGAGAATCTCAATTTTATTTAGATTTTTTGAATAATAAAAATTGATTGACATTCGTTTGATATTCGAATGCATAACTTATAAAATTGTCATATGATATTAAATAAAATTAAATAAAAAATCTACAAATTTACATTATAACATTATTTAAATGACATTTGATATTATATAAAGTTATATATATATATAATGTAAAAATACACAACCAACATTTATAAAATTTACACTACCTCATCAAATGTTTTGAAGTAAAGCTTATCTTTTTCTAAGACAAGGCCATTCAGGATGCAATTTATGCTTCGTACTTGTGTAAGCCAAATTAATAATGCTGCTTATGTTTTCTGAAAGCTTATTTTTTAAGTTTTTGGAGGTTTATTTGTAAGTCATTGTGATAATTTCGATTCTATTCTATAAATTAACTTTTCTAAAAACAATAGTAGCATAGAATAATAATTATGTGATGTGATAATTAAGCGCCTAGCCCTATTATGTTGTAGACAAAATTATAGTTACAAGAGAGCAACGCTTGTTCTCTCAAATAAAAACCCATCAGATTGGGTATTTAGAATTTAAGGGATTGATATAAATTCAAAATAATTTTTTATATATTTAGTGCTAATCTCAAATATTACCTCTCCTCAATTATCAGATATAGATAGCGTTGTTAACATATAAATGGGAATTTAAAATTTTTCGCACTTAACTGATATTTCTCAATTATCCTATATGCATTTAAAAACATATTTTAACATTATGCCATTGTAGATTTTAACAAAATAGTGGCTTTTTTTCTCATTAAAATATTAGCACTTAAGCGATATGCAATTAAGCCGTTTTGACTGTATACCAAACAAACTTATAATTTTCATTAATTCATTAATAGATGATTCTGTTGTTATGTTCTTCATTTTCTTTATTATTGGGAACTTTCTGAAGGCATCATCTAACACCATCCTATCATTTTCTTCAAATTGCGCATAATTTAAGTGTTCACGTTTAAAAATTCTTGTTATTATTGCCCAAGGATTTTGTATATTATGAGGACTGTCAGCCCATTTATTGCAATAATCACAATTTTTCGCCATTACTTATATTTTAACTAGGTATGATTTAATTATCACCGTAAATAATCTTTTGCCAATAATTTAGTTTTAGCAGCTCCTAAATGTCCTTTATGCAATTCTCGTAACATTTACTTTCTCATCTTTTTCTATATTAATTCACCCTTCCCAATATATCATCAATCTTTATCATCAGCCGTTTCTTTTATTGTCCTTTTAAAATTTATCGGATGTCCCATAATTTATTACCAACTACTGCAAAATCTACATTTTGTATCACATCTTCTATATTTGTCAGGTGTCAAAGGGACATGGTAAATGTGATGTTTCCCAGCTCTATGAGTTATTGTAAAATCGTGTGCTCCCATTGCTAAATTTCACTTTTGTAACCTTATGGACAAAAAGTGTTGTCTTTAAAATCTTTGGCAAATACACGAGTGGCTTATGATCTGCTGTAATTATATTAAATTTTGATCCAATGAGATATTCCTTAAATTTTTTCATTGCATAAATTATTAATAAGGCTTTTATTTCAATGTTTGTATAATATGTTTCTGATTTTAAACATATCTAGGAAAATAATTCCAGGGAAAAACACTCCGTTTTTTAAGATATTAAAAATTATAAAATTAATAAAATAGAAGAAATAATTCCCTATAAAAGTATTCATGAAATAAAAATCCTAAAATAAAATATTTTTTTTATTTAGAAAATCAGAATTATTTTCTAAGAATTATTATTGGGAATTTTTTTTCCGGGGAATTATTTTTCGCTTACCGATTTTAACTAAGTTCTTATAGCAATAGCAATTGGTTTTTCCTTTCCATCTCCTTCAATATGAAATAGAACAGAACCTAAACCCTTTTTCGAAGCAGGTAAATCTGGGTCATACATATTTAACATCGGTGGAGAATTTATTAACTTTTTAAAATCATCTAAGGTTTTCTGATGTGTACTTTCCCATAACTATTTATCTTTGTTATCTATACATAAATGATCTACTATGTCGGCAAAATTGTATAAGTATTTGTAATAATATCTAGCCATGCTCAAAAATGTTTCTAATTCTTCTTTTGTTTTAGGTTCTGACATGTTTGTAATAGCTATTATTTTATCTCCATTAGGATGAATACCATTTGTATCAATGTCATGTCCCAAAAAAAAACGAATTTCATTTTTGAAAAATATGCTTGCAAACCAATTATCCTCTGCGTCCCTGCATTGTGCAGCTTGAATATATCGACAAGCAGTTATCATGTTATACAAGTTGTTATGATAGAAATGTACTCTTTATTTTTATTTATGAATGTGTCATACAACGTGCCCAAATTTTAACTACGATTAGATATTTATGCGGAATGGTAGATCTGCCACTATATAGTTTATAAACGAAACACAGGAGATAAAATCTAAACTTTATTTTCAAATATAATATCACTAAAATTTATAAAAAATCACAGCGTTCATACAATACATTATATTTGAATAATAACTAAACTAAAAATATAAAAATAAATAATATAAAAAATATAAAATAATATTATTTTAAATGAAATATGAATTATATAATTCTTTTGAATAATAATGTAGAAATAAAATATAAAAAATAATAAGTTCTTAAATAAAATCAACCTAGCCCTAGTTTCATTTGAATAAAATCGGTATAACCGCAAAATTTATTTACAGACGAGAGAAATTATATCATACACAAATAACAGCATATGATAGACACAATGTCATATAGATTCTAATGATCTTTTTAAAAATTTCGCATAATTCAATCTTAGTACAGTTAACTTTTAATCGGTTACCGTTATATATATTAAAAGTCAACCTTTCTAATAATCATAAAAAAGAAAAAAAGAGAGAATTATACGATCGAATATTACGGGTTAATCATGCAGGAGAACTAGGAGCAGATAGAATATATGCTGGTCAGTTGTGCATCCTGGGTGATTCTTCAGTTGGGTACATCATAAAAGTATCCTAATTTTATTTATCAAATAATTTATTTTTATAAGCATATGTGGGAACAGGAAAAAGAACATTTAGCCACATTTGAAAATCTGATTGCTAAATACAATACAAGACCATCACTCTTAGTTCCCTTCTGGAATGTTGCAGGCTATGCATTAGGTTAAGGTTTATAGTTAGTGTATTTGTTATATTATTTTTAAGGCATGGGTAGTGCAATATTAGGAAAGAAAACTGCAATGGCTTGTACAGTAGCAGTGGAGTCAGTCATTTCACAACATTATAACAAGTTGACACAAATATATATTAAATTCTGTCTCATTTCCCACTTAATATATAATGCTTTATAAAAATTTGTAAGCAAACTGAGGCTCTTTGTGGCAGGCAATGAAATTTTTACCAATTCAATAGGCCAGCAGCAAATTATATTAAATTATTTTTTTCATATTGGTATATGATAATGTATCTTAATTCAAGATTGGGGAAAAATTAATCATGTCAGAGATATCACTGGTTTTTTTTATTTAAAAAGTGCTTAATATGTAAAAAAAAAATGATTTGCTCTTAAAGAAAGATAAAAAAGGGTGTAATGGGTGTTTTTTTATTGTTTAATAAGCAGAAGCACAAATAGATTAGCATCTTTAAACTCATAAATTTTAAAAATTAACTATAATGGTATACGAAAGTAATTTCACTGATCATTATATTTTAAGGTGATGAGCACAGCATTGGGCTAAAGCTGATTGGCATTATTTTGTATGATGCCTGACTTGCAAACAGGGTTGTTAGGTCTACTAAATTGGCTAGTAGACTAACCCAATTTTTTTTAAATATTGAAATCTACCACATTCAACTCATCTACCACAATTCTATCCTATTTTTTAAAATAGCCACAAAATCTCTCACACTTTAATTCTTATTTAAAATCATGTGCTTAGATTTTGATATTACTCATCATAATTTTATCCTTTTTCATTTTTTTGTAACTTTTATATATAAGTGGCTTAAGAACTTTTAATGTTTTTGTCTCTGGATTGGAATGTCTCTTAAAGATTTTAAAACCTTTAAAGCAGAGGCTACATTATCTGACTGTTTTGCACAATATATCCCTTTGTTCATATAGATTATAAGCATTTAATTTGTTTATAAAAAATATAAAATATTTAAATTATAGAGCACCAAAACATCTAGGTTGAAGCATCATGATGGCAAGTTTTATATTTGATCACATTTCATTGTTCCTTTAAGGAATTTTTATAATGAAATACCCCAGATTAAAGTCGTAATTGAACAAATCTGGATCATGCAATAAAAAAAGATTTAGTTTCAAAAAACATTCCATACATAATTTTTAAATTCAAGTTCTGCTGTAGATTTAAATACAGGAAATAATTTGAAGTAAATTTTAGCTCTTTTTTGGCTATTTTTTTTTAGAATTGCCACTTTTATAGTCTTTATGAATATTTGAAAGATTATTTCTTTTTTTTGAAGAAATATAAAATTGTATGCTGAGATATATTTAAAAGTTGGCATAAAGTAGATCTTATTTTGTTCGTTATAGATAAAATGGAAAATAACTAAATTTTAGTAAGGAAATATCACATCCCACCAGATGAAGGAATACAATCAAGATAATAAATCCAGTGAGAGCATTTTGGGACTGTGAATTAATCTAGACTAGAAAGAATATTGTCCCCTTGGGATCATTGCCTTAACCACAATTTTATCTTCAATCATACACAATTGAACTCTGACATATCTCGGATCTCCAGTAGGTAAAGATGAGTCCTTTATCAAGTTCTTTGTCGATATCGTACGGGAGATTCCCTCATGCACGATACACTATCGTGCCTCCCAGCCCACCAAGTTTTCTTCCTATTGAAGAACTAACTTCTAATTCCCAGAATTTTATATACACTCCGATCATAGCGAATCTTTCAATATGTCATCCTTGCTGCACATGAGCTTGATATTAAACGCCTTACAGAAGATATTCAATCTTAAATTTGGAGATCTATCTTTATTACAGGTTACCTTACCAACCAAATCTGGTGGCATTGACATAAGGTCACCCTCACTCATTTCCGTTAGTGCGTTAATATCCTCTAGCCTGTCTTGTGAGCCCATCATACGCACACTTTCAAAACATCCTGACCTCTTGCTTCTGTAGGCAATTGATTTCTGGAAATTTCTTTCATTAGTCAATCCTCCCTCATCGGCACTACAGAAGAACTGGGGTAAGCCATTAGTTGGCAACTCCTTTGCATATCTTAAATCTAGGAGCCAACCCGAGGACCATTCTCCACTCATCTCCATTTCCACATGTAGCGGCTACGAATTTCTCGAGACTTTCCCATCATGAAATCTTGACCAGCTCCTAAGCAACGATACGTCATTGGTCTGACTCAATTTCGATATGGTGATATCTTATCACTATTCTCTGTCAAACATCGGTCAACTCCGAAGGCCATCACTCTTTGCAAGCGTTATATAGGCAGATTCATTAGACATTCAAAATGCAACGATACTATCCAGGGCCTTGAAATCTGCTGGCATCCCGGCAACCCTCGAGCCCACTGGCCTTTACAATTACGACGGTAAACGACCTGATGGTTATACCATTATCTCTTGGAAGAGGGGAGAATTCCTAACCTGGGATTTCTCATGAATCGATCCTCTGGCCCTTCCAATATAAACAGGGATGCTCTACTGGACGCCGAGGCAAATAAACTCCCTAAATAATCGCCATCGCTACCTGCCAACTATGAATTCCTACCATTCGCCACGAATTTAACATAGTCGGCTCTCATGCCTTGGCCTTTTTAAAAGAGCTGGGGCACCGGATCTCTGCTAGGACTGAGGATTCCAACGAGGGATACTACCTACGTCAGATGTTGGCCCTAAAAATAATAAAGTGCAGTCATCTCAGTTTTATACTAATGACCTAAACCCCCTGATTGAGCATCCTCTACATAGGATATGCTAGGCTATTTTGCTCCAAATTATGACGTTGGCGCTAAAAAGAAACTTGGATCTCAAGTGATAAAAGGCAGCAAAAATTAATCACAAAAACAAAAACCCTAATAAAGATGTACAGAAGTCGAGAAGATCAGTGGCCACCAAAGCAAAGCCAATGCTACTTTTAGATGAAGAATTCACAAATTTTCAATTAAATTAATATGCTAATTTATAGAAACAAAAAAATATCATGATTATATTTATTTTTTTAATTGCGTTACTTATTTATGATTAAAATTTAATAAAGTGTATATAAAGTGTATGTTTTAAAAAATAAATTATTTTTTTTAATGAAAATTAAAAATTGCTAATTTATTATAACATATTTTTAGAAGAATATTTATTTAAATTATTTTGATGATTGACAATTAATTGAAAAATTACTCAGACATATTTAGAGTTTTCTTATGGGGGGACTATTTAGGCGTGGTTTTCCGCCATAAATTTTATTGAAGCTATTTAGGAAGTACTTTTTATAGTCCTTTAGCTATTATGTTATATTTACAATAATTTTGATTTTTCGCTTATTTATAAAAATGTTTTTTTTCGAAAAATGTCAATTATAGTCGTTATTTTAAAAAGTTATTAACTTTAACTAATTTTTCTTTCAAATTCTTTATAATAAATAATATATTGTATACATTTTTGGGGGAGGGAGGTGGGGTTGGGTAATGTGCAGGGATAATTTTTTTATTAGCTTAAAATAATATTTACGAAAACATGCAAATTTGTGATGGGAGGAGGGGTTTCCACTTTCCCTCCTTGGTGTCACACTTAAAATCACTAAAAAATTAAAGTAATTTAAAAGATATCATTTTATGAAATTTTTTGAAATATTTTATTTGTTTAAAGATATAGTAACAGGATAATGATTGTTTTGCCCTGATTTATCAAGGAAATATAACGTAGAAAACAAAAGTCTAGCACAATCGAATAATTTTTATGTTGATATTGATTTTCCTTTATTTTTTTTAAAAAAAACAATCTTGTTCCCTTTATGTTTTTTTGGTTGCTGCTTCTTTCGGATGATGGCTTATTATTCTTATTTTATTTTTTTTTAAATCTAAAATGGTTTTTGAACGTTTTGGCTAAAATTACGAAAATATAAAAAAAATATAGAAAATACTTGGCCACACGAAAATGAAAAAAATTTGATAAAAACTTCCAGTTTGTGAGAAAAGATTGCAATTAGATGATTGAGCATCATTAATTAATTAATAAATGTATATATATTTACACATTTAGAATCCTCATTAAATTGACCGATATATAATATTTACTTAAAAAAATAATTTTTTAAAAATTAATTAAAAATATTTTTTAAAAATATATTAATTTATATATATTCAGAATCACCATCAAATTTGCAGTTTAATGATGTTTATATCGATTTATAATATTTAGTTATAAAAAAATTTCTTTTTTGATTAAATAAAAAATATTTATAAAATAGGAAATTTTATATATTTAGAATCTCCGTAAAATTTGCAATCTATAATAATGTACATGGTCGATATACTATTTAGTTTTAAAAAAAATTAATTAAAAATATATTTGTACAATAAAATTTGCAGCTTGATAATTTTTATTTAGGTTTTCACATAATTATTTCAAAAAAATTTCAGATATTTTTATCAATAGAGGAAATAACTCACTTGAAGTTTAGATAAAATGTTAAGCGCATTAAAACGAGGGAAATTTAAGATCGGTATTTTTGATATATTTTACCGATAAATTGTATCAAATATATTACAATTTTTTAGAGTTATACTATAAAGCCGATAAATGAAAGAAAGAATTTTTTCGATAATGTTAGCTAAAATAGACTATTTTAAATAAATATGTATATCAAAATCACAAATATATTTAAAAAAGAAATGTAAATTCATATATTCCTTTTTTTAAAAATTCACACCGCTAAGAGGTTATTTCGTAAAATTAAGTAATTTAAGGTTTAAAAACTAATTATAATATCAATAGATTTTTCTTTGAAAATCGTATACAAAATTAATAAAATATTACTGAAATCTATATTACGCAGTATTCTTATTTTTATTTAAAGTTAATTAAGGCGTCTCTCTTCTAAATATACTGAGATAATTATTTATATTTTAGACAACGGGCTCTTTAAAAATTAAATATTATATCGTTCCATCATATTCTTATATAGTGATGATTAATTAACAATTTAAGAATATTAAACTGATTAAATAGGATTATTTTAATAAGAACGAATGTAAATCATATAGTATAATTCCCAATAATTTATTA